GCGCGGTCATTGGATGTCCCCGCGACGAGAGAGTAGGTCTTCCGAGCATTGTTTCGACATCTCCATAGTGTCCCTAAGTGGGGTTAGGAGTGTGGAACAGTTGCAACCGGTTTGGGCTTGCCATAGCTTGCTTCAGTGTTTTAGTAGGAAACGACTTGGAAATATTGAATCGTTCGCACAGACGGGCCCAAATGTTGAATCAAGAAATTGACCAACTTCGCAAATGTCGGCTCTGGCTAGAGAAGTTGGATAGTGAGTCTCAAATGTCAAGTAGCAGCCCTGCAAACCAGAGTGAACAGTCTGATGCCAAAGTCAGTGAAAGTCCGAACTAAATCGAGAGAGAATCGAAATGTTCGTATACCTCAAAAGGAACATAATGATTTTGTTTATAGGCGAAGACCCCGACAGTGTTCCCGACAAGGCCTCAACGACTTTTTTAAGGTTACCGTGAAACGCAGCATGTTGTCGTGGAGTATGTCGAATGTGTGATAGAGCTGAGTAAGCCGGTCGGCTCGAACAATAACATGGGAAAGCGATCTCTAACAAACTTGTTCGGCTCGACCACAAAAGGGATTCGGCTCTGTCAAGTGGATGAGCCGAGGTGTGCAAACTTAGGTGGTTCTTTGTGGCCTCCTTGAGCCACATGTCATGTTTTTCATCCACTCATCGCCTGCTACGTGTATGCTGAAATCTACCTCTACAAATAAAGAAAAAGAACATTGGAATAAGTATCGACAACTGCTCAGAGTTATTCAAGAGAGAGGGGCACCAACACATCAGGAGGAGAAACCACAAACTTAAATGCTGTTTTTTTAATAATATTGTATATTATATGCTATTTTATTCAAATCCAGGGACACATGCTCTCGGTCCCGACGTGCAACCGCTTCTGACTCCTCAACATAGTGTGTTACAAAACTATTTGCCAAATGCCATAATAAACTATTTGCCAGATGCCATAATTCTCTCAAGTCATATTTCTTCCCAAACAAAAATTTTCACCCTTTGGGCAAGAGAGAAATTAGAGCCACCATCTCATCAATCTTCTCGTCTCCTTTCCTCCTCAAAATCTCACTCATTTGCGCGACTTTCTTCCTCACGTCGTCCCTGGTTTTCTCAACCACCACTTGTTTGATCAACTTTGAAACTTCGTGTCTTTGAATTTTGCCGTCGGGATCTCGCTTGGCCTCCACGCCCACCCCGGCCTCTTCCACGAGGCCGGCGTTGTAAGGCTGGTCCACACGCATTGGAACCCCAATCACAGGTACCCCACAAATTATGCTCTCCATCACCGAATTCCATCCACAGTGACTCACAAATCCCCCAATGCTCCCATGTCTCAATATCCTCGCCTGCGGAGCCCACTCCTTGATCACCATCCCCCTCTCTCCCGCCCTCTCCAAAAGCCCCTCTTCAATAATCCCATTTCTGTTTTCCAATTTGGGAAATCTGACAACCCATATGAAATTTGCCCCACTCTCTTCTAACCCAGGTGCTATTTCTTCCATTTCTTCGTTTGATGGGAAATATTCACTTCCGAAAGAGACGAAAACGGTGGAGCACGGTTCCTTTTTGTCGAGCCAGTTTTTGATGCTTCTGTATTCTTCATCTTGATCCTCGTCCTGATTCGGTTCGTACACTAAAGGACCAATCGGGATGACTTTTTTGTTCAGGAGAAGGGACAGGTAATCGATGTATTCCCCCTCGAGCTCTCTGAAAGTATTGATCAGAATTGCATTCCCAGAAGAGTTCAAGCAATACAGAAACGCCTCTCGAGCTCTGCGGGTTTTTTCTGAAGCACCTCCATCGGCGGTGGTGTACGTGGACTTCCAATAATTGTGGAGAATGAAATCTGAAAGTGGGAATTTAGAATCTGGGTGGTGAATGGCGTGGAGCGCTTGAGCGATGACGGAAACTCCCGAGGTATTGAAGTTGAGGGCGGGGATTTTGAGGGAGGAAGCTATTTTTGGGGCCCATGGTTGGAGAGAGTCGTAAATGAGAAGATGCGGGCAAAGTGTTTGTAAAATTTCCTCAAAGAGTGGGGCAGCCGCAGAGAAGGCTTGGTGGAGGGTGGGCATGAGGTGGGAGGGAAGGCCATTGGTTGTGTGAAGATTGGGAGGCAAATCATCAGAAGAAGGGAGATGGAGCTCCACAAATTGGATTGAAGAACAAGGAATTGTAAGCTTTGGTTTAATGGATTCGATGTTAACAGGGGTTGAACAGTAGTAGATATGGAAGTTTCTTCTTGAGAGGGCTTTGGCCAGCTCTAGGTAAGCTGTGAGATGGCCATATCCAACCCATGGAAGCATCAAAATTGTTGTGGTGTGTTCAGCTTGCTGGTGGGCATCCATGGCGATGGTACCAAATTAATCAACCACATAAGTATTTATACAGAGGAAATATTAATGTTGAAATTTTGTTATTGGACCAAAGTACATTCAGATTGCCGCCTACTTCGAGGATTCAGACTTGGGAATTAGCAAGAGAATTTTGGCTCTCGGTGGAAGCAAGGTTAGACATCTGTGCTTAGTGGTATTTCCAGTTTAATTATGAATTCTGTTGTTATTTAGGTGTTTATTTATTTATTAATTAATGTTACGTTTGTATTTATACAACTAAGTTGATATATTTAAAAAAGAAAAGCCTGCGAGCTCATCTAACTTGTTTGGGCTCTCTGTGTCCATATAGTCGAAAGCAAAACCGCGGCCTTCAATTCAACATCTTTCGCCAATGCCATATGTTATGTTAAGAGGTGTTAGAAATTAATTAACCGAGATTATGAATATAAATCAAATCCAAGTTTGGTCCCACAAGAGGTTTCAATCACAGAACTAGAAAGAAAAATTAAAATTAAAAGTCGGGAAATTGGATTGAATAGTTTTTTTCAAAGGCCAACTATGAAATATATCACCCCTCCAAATTTTATGTTTTCTAACCATTTGGTTACGTCACTTTGCGTAAAATTACAAATTATCCTTTTTATTTTATCTCTCATTTTCTCTCCTCTTTCCTCTCCTCTCAACTCTCTCTTTCTCTCTCTTCTTCATTCTTCCATTTCTCTGCAAATCCTTTTCTTCTTCCTGCGATTTTGATTTTTTTTTTCACTATCTGATTTTTCAAGGACGTGCATTCCTCTCTCTCCCTATCTCTTTCTATCCATTTTTTTCTACACCACATCTCATTTGATTTTTTGTTTTCCTTTTGTTTG